AGTGATCTCATAGTCCAAAGCTTAACGTTCTCCAGAAATCTCATCTTCCTGAGCAGCAGGCTTTATTCTTCTGTTAATGTTTAGGTAACATGCACTTATTTTACTGACTAGGGCAAAAATGTGATTAGGTTTGACTAAGATAGCATAGAACATAGAACATAGAACATTACAGCGCAGTACAGGCCCTTCAGCCCTCGATGTTGCGCCGACCTGTGAAACCAATCTGAAGCCCATCTAACCTAAACTATTCCATTATCATCCATATGTTTATCCAATGACCATTTAAATGCCCTTAAAGTGGGCGAGTCTACTATTTTTGCAGGCAGGGCATTCCACGCCCTTACTACTCTCTGAGTAAAGAACCTACCTCTGACATCTGTCCTATATCTATCACCCCTCAATTTAAAGCTATGTCCCCTCGTGCTAGCCATCACCATCCGAGGAAAAAGGCTCCCACTGTCCACCCTATCTAATCCTCTGATCATCTTGTATGTCTCTATCAAGTCACCTCTTAACCTTCTTCTCTCTAACGAAAACAGCCTCAAGACCCTCAGCCTTTCCTCATAGCAGTTACTAAGAACTAGGGTGGTTTGAACACTTTAAGTTGACACTTCCTTTTAATGTTCTATCTGTCACATAGTCTTTTTGCCTTTTTGGTACTGACTTTTCTCGAACCTCCTACAACATGCTAATTTCTTCCACAGTTAACAAAGCAAAAACAGTATTTTTGAAAAAAGGGACACTGTCAGGATGGCACACTGTTAGTATTGAGTTTATTGCTAGGCCTACAGCTGTTCACAATGTGAAGTTTGGATCTGGGAAAGAATTGTGACATTTCTAGAATTTACTGATGTGATGAAAAATAGGTGGGAATGCAAGTTGAGGAAGATACAAAGAGGCTTCAAGGGATTTTGATGGGCTAAATGGGCAAAAACCTGTAAAATGGATGTAAAGACCATGTGATGTTTTTGGGCTTTTAAAAATAGTGAGCTGAAATGAGACAGCTTTTGTAAAACCAGTGGTTTGAAGGATTGCTCTGTTTTGAAAAGCAAGTGACCTGATATTCAAGTGTAGCTGTTTGAACAAGCAGTAATTGAAGTTTCAGTTGCAGATGAATTGAAGCTGAGGTGCTGTGTTCAGGTGTAGCTCTCTGATGACAAAATTTGGTTTTTGGCTCGTAACCAGTTATAGATGGTAAAAGTCTTTTGCCTGTCTCTGATATTGTAATAGATTCTTGGATAACTGGACAACTTTGGGCTGGGAACAAGGTAATGATTTGATCCCCACAGCTGTTTTTGTTCTCTGCAGTCGAAATCCATTTTAAATCTAAAAAATTCAGTTCAACTTTCCTTCAGTTTCCTTTTAATAAGCCAAATGTTTCAGAAGTGAGCTAGCCACCTTGTGGACTCCTGCAAATCAGTAGAAACGTTCAAACAGAGACAACTGAAGAACAGTTCTGACCAACAAAAAAATCATGGTCATCTCAGCAACCCATGAATGAGAACCACTGAGCTGCTTTCCAGTTTTCCTCTTCCAAGAACCTAACTTCCCTCTTTTACTGTTGGTCGGTCTGTGTGTGTGTGTAAGGGAAGTTTTTAAGAGAATTCTAGTTTTAATTTGTTACACGCCATAGATTTATAACCGTTTACCTGTAGCCAGAGTCTGGTTACCTTGTAATAAATAGCAATTCTTGTAAGGACAGAAACATGGTCTGTGCTTTCTATCAATCTGGGTCTGAAAATCAGCTAAATTGGGGAATAAAATTTTTGAGAAGATTTGTAGCTCGTGTTGTGGATGAGGTTGTAGACTGGCTCGGTGAGCAAATGTGTTTGATTGCAGACGTTTTGTCACCCTGCTAGGTAACATCGTCAGTGCGCCTCCAGTGAAGCTTTGGTGTTCTGTCCCGCTTGTTATGTATAGGCCTAGGTTTGCTGAGGTAGTCGGCATTACTTCCGGTTCTGTTTTGCAGTGGTTTGTATATTGGGTCCAGTTTGATGGTGTTCCGGTTGGGACGCTAGGCTTCCAGGAATTCCCAGGATACACGAACACCAACTAGCCACCAAGGGACATGACCACTTCTCACTGGTCTCAATATACACAGACAAAGAAGGACACTAATTCGACTGGGACAATACGTCCATGATAGCAAAAGACAAACAGATATGCTACGGAACTGGACTCTATTTCCAAACCACTGGAAAACAGAAACGGAAGTGATGCCAACCACCCCATCAAACCAAGGCATATAGATAACAAGCGGGACAGAACACCAAAGCTTCATCAGAGGCACACTAACAACGTTACCTAGAAGGGTGATGAAACGTCTGCGATCAAACACACCAGCTCAGCAAGCAAGTCTACAACCTCAAATTGGGGAATTTTGAGTGCATATTTTAACATCTTTAACTCTTGTGATGACTCCAGAAATACCGGGGCTTGATTTCAGCGTGATGTTCCGGTGAGTCATGGCATGCAATATAATGTGGAAAGATGTGAAGTTATTCATTTTGGTATTTTTTTTAAAAAGTATGGTTGGGAAGTGGTTGGTATTATGCCTTACTAAAAGGCCTTCACCATACCGGTGAGAGTACAAAAGTAAAGATGTCTCACTGCAATTATGTAGTATCTTGTGAGATCACACTCATGTTACGTGTGGTTTTGGTCTCTTCAAACATTTACCAGATTGCTCCCTGGGATGGTGGGATTTTACTATGAGAAATTGAGAAACCAGACCTGCATCCTCAAAGTTTTGAAGATATATAGGGCAACCTCATCAAAACTTAGAAAATGCATACTGGGTAGAAATGGATAAAATGCTCCCCCTGGCTGGTGAGGCTTGGACCAGGTGACAGTAATGTATAGGTCATTAAGGCTCTGAGGCAGGATTTCTTCACAGAGGGTGGTGAATGTTGGGGATTCTCTACCCTAGAGTGCTATGGTAGCTTAATTGTTGAGCATGTCTGGGATAGAAATTTCTACCTTTCTGGTGAGTAATGACTCCAAGAGATATGGAAATGGCATGGAGAAACTAGCTTTGAGGCAAATGATCAACCATTATCTAATTAGCAAAGCAGCTTGACATGCTGAATAGTCTACTCCTGAGGTTATGTTTCTAATCTTCATTTTTGATATGGCATTGCTGATAAATTTTTATATGCTTGACACATGTGCAGTAGTAACTTAATTTAGATCTCCATGCTCCAGGCTATCATAGTTGCCTGGGCTATTGTAAAATATTCCACTGTGCATGCTGAACAACTAGTCTCCCAGGCTGATGATATTTCCTTCCTCCAGTACCTCGCTGAGCCATACAGTCTTCATCCAGTATCCTCAAATTCTCCCAGCTGTGTCGGAGTGGTGGATTGTTTTGCCTCTTATTTTAGTATTTCTCCATCTCATTCGCTGCCGCAGTTGGTTTCTGGAATTTTTAAAAAATATTCATGCTCTTTATTTGTTTTATTTTCATTCATTTTTATTCCTTTTCTTTCTCCTCCATTCCAATGCCTGCTATTAAATATAGAAATGTAGACGATAGGGGAAGGAGTGAGCCATTCAGCCTTTGATGTATGATCATGGCTGATTATGCAGCTCTGTACCTTGTTCCTACTTTGTCCCTTTTGATGTCTTTAGTCCCAAGAATTATACCTAACTCCTTCAAAACATTCAATGTTTTGGCCTCAACAGCTTTCTGTGGCAGACAATTCCACAGGCTCTCCCCACACACTGTGTGAAGAAGTTTTTCCTCATCTCAGTCCTAAATTGCCTGCCTCGTATCCTGTGACCGCTGGTTTTGGACTTCTGAATCAATGGAAGCATCTCTGCATTTACCCCGACTAGTACTATTAGAATTTTATAGCTTTCTATAAGATCATCCATCATTCTTCTAAATTCCAGTGAATATATTCATAACCGATCCAGTCTGTTTTCATATGTCAGTCCTGGCATCCCAGGAATCAGTCCTGAAAATCTTCGCACTCCCTCCATAGCTAGAACATCCTCCAGGTAGAGAGACCAAGACTGCACACAATTTTCCAGGTATGGTCTCACCAATACACTATTTGCCTCCTTCACCAGCTGCTGCACCTGTATGCTTGCTTTTAGCAATTGGTGTACAACAGCATCCAAGTCTGATAGCACCCCCCCTGCCTTTCCTAATCTATCACCATTTAGATAATTGCTTCCTGATTTTGCTAATATGGATAATCTCACATTTATTGCATTATAATTCATATGCCATGCATGTGCCCACTCACTCAACTTGTCCAAATCATAATGAGCATCACTGCCGCTTCCTCGCAGTTCACCCTCCCCATCCAGCTTTGTATCATCTGCAAACTTGAGAGATTTTGCATTCAGTTCCTTCTCCTAAGTCCAATCATATAGATTGGAACTCCATTATTCACAATCACTGTTCTTTCAGTACTGCACCAGTCATTGCCTGCTGCTTGGGAAAAGCCCTATTTATTCATAATTTGTTTCCTGTTTGCCAACCTGTTATCTATCCATGTCAATACATTAACCCCAATCCCATGCACTTTAACTTTACATGTTGATCTCTCTTTCGTGAAGCCTTATCAAAAGCCTTCTGAAGGTCTGAGTAAACCACATCTGCAAGTTCCCCATTCTCAACTCTACTTACAACCTCTCAAAATTCTAGTGATTTGTTGAGCATGTAAATCATAAATCCCTTTCGTAAATCCATGCTGCTCTGTCAGCCATGTTTTAATTGAATGGTAGAGCTGCCTACCAGTCAGGGAAAAACAGGAACACTGATAGAGTGGCAAATGTAGAAACCAGCACATCCACCTGACTGATGAACCTTACTCTTGCACAGAGCCACTGCCATATCCTAGGGGCAATTTGTTGAAGAGTAGTTTGCTGTACTGCAATGGAAGTCAAGGAATCATTTATTAACAGTGGTCACCTGAGCCACACAAGCAGCCATCTAAGCTTCCAGGCCAGCAGTCAGCACTGTAATCAAAGTTTTCTGATTCATTGTGAGTGTTTCCATCTTACTTGCTTTCATAAGTGACCTGACAGCTGACCACAATCTGCATTGGAAAGGATGGGCCTTCATACTCTGTGCAAAGTAGTCTTCCCAATCAAGATGATTGTTAGTAAATCTAATAAGCCTTGAATTAGCATGGAGTTTCATTGTCCATCATTGTTTTCATGCCATGCAAGTACTTTGGGTATTAATGGTTAGTTTTCTGCTTGCTGGAGCATTTAATTTCTAAAAGGAAATTCTCTGCCTTGTGCCTGTGCTGGGATTCAAATTTTGCATTTTAGTTTGTGACTTTTCTTTTTGTTCTGAAGATGTTGTTAGTATATTTTTGGATGATACCAAAATCGGTGGTATAGTGGAAAGTGAAGAAGATTATCTAAGATTACAAAGCGATCTTGATCAATTGGATCATTGGGCTGAGAAGTGGCAGATGGAGTTTAATTTGGATAAATGCAAGGCATTGCATTTTGGTAATACAAACAAGTGCAGGACTTCTACAACACTACCCAAGTCCCTACCATAAATTGTATAACAGAGAGACCTAGGAGTCTGAAATTTGCAAAACAGGTAGATAGCATGGTTAAGGTGTTTAACACGCTTACCTATATTGCTCAACCCTTTGAGTGTTAGAGTCGGGATGTCATGTTGAGGTTGTATAAGACATTGGTGAGGCCTCTTCTGGAGTACTGAGTACAGCTCTACTTGCCCTGATGTAGGAAGTATGTTATTAAATTGGAGGGTTCAGAAAAGTTTTACCAGGATGTTGCTGGGAATGGACGGGGTTATAAGGAGGGGTTGGAGAGGTTGGGACTTTTTCACTGGAGTGTAAGAGATTTGAGGGGTGACCTTAGAGGTTTATAAAATCATGAGGGGTATAGATAAAGTGAATAGCAAGGGGGAAACTTTTTCACACAGAGGGTGGTGTGTGTGTATAGAATGATCTGCCAGATAAAGTGATAGATGCCGGTACAGTTATGACATTTCAAAGGCATTTGGATAGGTACATGAATAGAAAAGGTTTAGAAGTATATGGGCCAAATGCAGACAAGTGGAACTGGTCTGGCTTGGGAACATGGTTGGCATGGACTGGTTGGATCAAAGAGTCATACAGCATGGAAACAGACTCTGAGTCTCTGACATGCTTCCCCTATTAATACTGATTTTCTTCTACTGATTTAGTCCCTCTCACTAGACTGCATTCCCCAACATTTTTGAGATGTTACTTGCGTCTTCTGTGAAGACAGAGCCAAAGTGTACATTTAATTGTTCTCAACTATAGCTTCTGCTGTTTTTCACTGTAAGGACTTCATTTGTCTTCAGTAATCCTTACAAATACTATAGAAGCTTTTGCCATCAGTTTATATGTTCCTGTAAACGTACTATCCTCCTGTTTTCTGCCTTTTAATGCATCCTTTTGTCCTCCTTCAAAACTTAAACTTCTCTCAATCCTCCAATCTTTTTTGACCAATTGGTAAACCCCATTCTTGTATCTGGTTTCCCTTTTCCACCATAGTCAGGCCAACTTTCCTGTTTTATTCCTGTGCCAGATAGGAATGAACAGTTGTTGCATTTCCTCCATGTTCTCTTTAGATATTTGCCATTGCTTGCCCACCATCATCACTTAAAGTAAGCACAGTCAGCTTGTGCCTCATAACATGGAAGTTTCCTGTGTTTAGATTCAGGGCCAGAGTCTCAATCAACTGTGTCACACTTAACCTTTAACGAATTCAGTCATTGTGGTCATGCTTCCCCAAGGGGACTCTCACAGCTTCATTTAACAATAATGTTTTCTTATTACACAATACCCAGCCTAGGATGTCCTGTTACTAGTCAGTTCCTAAACATACTGATCCAGAAAACCAGCTTGTAAATACACTAGGATTTTTTCCTCCTACAGTATTGCTACTGATTTGACTTGCCCAATCTGTATGCAGATTAGAGTTTCCTAAATTACAGCCATACCTTTTATTGCTTGTGTCTCTCACTTCCTATTTAATGCCTTCCCTGATCATACCATCTGTATGCAAACCCTACCGTCAGTTTCTGCGCCTGTGTTTCTAAGTTACACTCAAAAGATTCCATAAGAGCTAATTTCCTCTTTAACCAGCAATGCTACCTCTCCTCCCTTCCTTTGTCATTCCGAAAGCTAGAGCATCCTAGTCACCCTGCAGCCATGCCTCCATAAGCTAACTGTAATTATACTGTTTATATGGATAATGCTCTATGCATTAAGATACAAGGCCTTGAGGCATCTCTTTTTTTAGTCCTGTTTGCAGTATCTTGCACTGATCCTGTTTGGTTTTTTGCTCTCATTCTCTGTCTATCACTTACCTTATTTCCCATGCTGTCTTCCATTTTTTTGCTCGTTTCCTCTCCCGTCTCCTTGTATAGGTCCCCTTAGCCCTGTCTTTTTAGTTTTGAACCCTCCCACCACACGAGTAAATACTCTCATTTGAACATTTGTCCAGTCCTGCCTTGGCGCAACCTGTCCAGCTTCTACTGGCCCCACCTCCCCTGAGCCAGTCCCAATGTCCCAGGGAATCTGAAACACTCCTCCTTGTACCATCACTTATTTGATACCATTCAATTTCTATTCTGTCCATCCCTTGTGCTAGACAATAAATGCTGGCCGGCCAGCCAGGAACACCCATATCCCACAAGTGAGTAATAAATTAACAATCCTAAGAGAGCGATGTTTTGAGGTTCTGTTTTTAGCTTGCTTCCTAACTGTCTATATTCTGCTTTTAAGGGACCTTGTCCCTCTTTGTCTTTTATATGCTTCGTTACTTGTTTGTAGTTCCCTCTTTCGATTTGATTTTGGCTTTTTCTCTTTCTACTTGTTTCTCTTGTCTTTTGTTTATCTTTTTATCTTATTTTCTTTTTGAGCATGTCTGTCGTTCCTCTCCTTTTTGGGCTTTTCCACTCACACCCTAGTTTGTCATCCTGACACCCTCATTTCTAATTCTTTTCGGTCTCTCCCACTTGCAACATTGAATTTCTTTTCTTGAAAAAACACACTGAGGCTAGTCTTCCCAATATGCTTCTGCTGGCTGTAAAAGAACTATCCATTCGTTCTGTAATACAATTAATTCTGTCTCATGTCTGTTGGGATGTTGAATTTTTTTTGCTGTTCACATTCTTATTTGGTTTCACACAAAGTCATTACTTTTGTTATTACTTCTCTTTGATTTGGTTTTGTTCTTTCAGATTGTTTCTGAAATAGAAAATATGCGTCATAGAATAATTGAAGTTCGCCAGGAAATATATAATCATAATGAGAATGAAGTTAGCAGACGATGGGCTTTTGAAGAAGGGGTAAGTATTAAAAGGAAATTCAATGTGGAAATTCTAAAAAGGAAAATCCTGTCATGTGCTACTTGTTTGTAAGACTCATCATTGCATGACACAGGCATGAACTTGAGGCAAAATATGTACATGGTTTTGTTTCCCTTAAGATATAACTGAACACCAGTCTGTGAAATAGTCCATCTATTTTGCAGTTTACACCTACAAACTCTTGAGATTGTAATTAGAATTTTGAGACAGGATAATCCCAGATTCTTCCAACTCTCCATATAATGAAGCTCCTCATCTCTGGTGTCAGCCTGATAAAACCACCTGTATACCCCTATAAGTCCTGTATTCTTCCTGAAGTATGGTGCCTAAACTTGAACAATGTATTCCATTTGAGGTCTTAACTAGTGATTTTACGACAGTTTTTAGCATAACACCTTATCGATACCCATGCACTTTCTCAACTCGCCCTACTACTTTCAAAGATGTATAAATATGTGCCCCCAGCAGCCCTTGGCTCTGCACCCTTTTTCAAATTATCATCATTTGAATTTACTTTTTAGTGGCCCAGACTATTGCTTTAGGGAAGTGAGTGCAAATCCTATCACGGCTGATGAACGTGAATTCAATTAATAAATCTGGGCTATGGAACTATTGTCGATTTTGTTATAAAATCCCATCTGGTTCACTAACGTCCTTCTAAGGAAAGAACAGCCATATTTGCCGGGTCTGGCCAACGTGTGACGCCACACGTTCAACAATGTAGTTGATTGTTAAATGCACCCAGAAACTGCTCAACAAATTACTCGTGTTGAACCACTACAAAGTCTAAGGAATAAAACTAGAATCAGAGAATTCCTGCAGTGTAGAAGCAGGCCATTCAGCCCATTGAGTCCACACTGACCCTCCAAAGAGCATCCCACCCACACCTTCACCCCTACCCTATCCCCATAAGCCTGCATTTCCCATAGTCAGTCCACCCCTAACTTGCACTTCCTTGGACCACCTAGCATCAATTTGGGCACTGAAAACTGCAACAGCAAACCCAGCCCTTTTGCCACTGCAAATTTGTCCCTTCCTAGCATTTGGGGATCTGTGGCAAAATTGGGAGTATTTTCTCAAATTAGTCAAGTAGCATCCTGACATTGCTGTGAGGGATAATGCCACGAGTATGATAATCACCCAGACATCAATGTCACCCACCAGAACAAACCTATCAGAGGGTGACGGCAAAGTTGTATACAGTTTGGAAGGAGTTGTCTTGAGAGTCTTTGACGTTGACTCTGGATCTTATGAAACAACACGCATCATGTTAAAAATAAGGAAGGGAACCTCCTGTGTCTGATCATCACCACACTTGGAAATATATGAATTAGCAGCTAGATTAGGGCAATTGGCCTCCATTCTGATCTGCCATTCAAAAATGTCATGGCTAATCTGATTGTGTCCTCCATTGTTGTTGTTCTTGGTCAAGAATCTACTTCTGCCTTGAAAGTATTCAATGACTTTGCTTTCACTACTCTGGAGAAGATTTGAAAAGACCTATGTCCCTCAGGAAAATAGTCCTTCTTATCTCTGTCTCCCTTGGCTGATGAATTAGTACTCCTTATTGAACATTATTTTGAGGAAGCATTGAATGAGGTGAGGACATAAAATGTACTCTGGTTGGGAAACTTCAATGTCTATCACCCAATTATGACTTAGTAAACAGTGGTTAATAGTTAGTGAGCAAGATGAATCCTATGGAACTTATCTAATATACTAGGTCTACTGCAGGTATTGAGGGAAATTAACAGGCGAGAAATGCACTTTTCCTGTTCCTCGCCAATCTAAAATATACTCGTGCCAGATGCATCTGTCCATGTTAGAATTAATAGAAATGACCACGAGATCTGTGCAGAGACAAAACCAAGTTTTCACAATGAAGGTATACTCCATCATGCTGTATGGCCCTACCGCTACTGGTTTAGGAACAAATCTGATAACTCGAACTGGTCACCCCTGAGATGCTATGGGCCATCAGCAGCAGTAGGCATTCAAGCGCGATCTGTAGCTCCATCTCCATGTCCATGGCCAGCATGTCCTCATTCTCTCATTATGGTACGCTGGGGCTCTATCCTAGCTCAATGAGGAGGCCAGGAAGGCATGACTGAAGCAGCACCAGGTGTACTGAAAATTAGGTGTCAACTTGGTGAAGATACAGAACGGGGCTCCTTGCATGCTGAACCGTGGAGACAGAATATGTTTAAAAAGTGCTCAGCCTTCTAGCTTTTAATGGGTCCGATCTAAGCTCTGCAGTCCTGCTGCTTAAAGCCGTGAATGGTAGTGGACAGGTAAACAGCCAACAGGAGGCGGAGACTCCGCAAAAATAATCATCCTACATTATGTAAAAGACCAAAAAGTTGGTGCATAAGACAAGGCTGAACCATTTGCAAGCATCAGCAGCCAGACGTGCTGAGAGGTTCATCCATTTCTGATCCTTCTCTCAGTGTCATGAATGCCAGTCTTCAACCAATACGATTCACTCCTGTGCTATCAAGAAATGGCCAAACGTACTGGATACTGCACTGGGAACGTTCTCCAACCTGTGCTCCAAACATTGTTGCCATTAGCTGAGCTATTTCAGTATAACTACAGCACTAGCATCTACCCAGCAATATGAAAAATTGCCAGGTATGTCCTGTCCATAAAAAACAGGTTAAATCTGACCCATCTAATAACTGCATTATGAACAGAGTGATGGAAGAGGTTGTTGACAAGTTGTCAAGTGGCACTTGCTCATAAATAACCTCGCTGGAGTATAGTTTGTGTTCTGCCAGGGCAACTCAGGTCCTGAACTCATTACAGCCTTGATTCAAACATGAACAAAAGAGCTGAATTCCAGAGGTGAGGTAGAAGTCTTACTTCTGTGGTGGTCAAATTATTGGAGAGGATTCTGAGAGATAGTATTTATGATTATTTGGAAAAGCACAGTTTGATTAGAAATAGTCAGAATGGCTTTGTGAGGGGCAGGTCATGCCTCACAAGCCTTGATGAATTCTTTGAGGATGTGACAAAATGCATTGATGAAGATAGAGCAGTGAATGTGGTGTATATGGATTTTAGCAAGGCATTTGATAAGGTTCCTCATGGTAGGCTCGTTCAGAAAGTAAGGAGGCATGGGATTGAGGGAAATTTGGCTGTCTAGATACAAAACTGGCTGTCCGGTAGAAGACAGTGGGTGGTAATAGATGGAAAGTTTTCAGCCTGGAGCTCAGTGACCAGTGGTGTTCCGCAGGGATCTGTTCTGGGGCCTCTGCCCTTTGTGATCTTTATAAATGACTTGGATGAGGAAGTGGAAGGGTAGGTTAGTAAGTTTGCTGATGACACGAAGGTTGGTGAAGTTGTGGATAGTGTGGAGGGCTGTTGTAGGTTGCAACGGGACATTGACAGGATGCAGAGCTGGGCAAAGAAGTGGCAGATGGAATTCAACCCAGACAAATGTGAAGTGATTCATTTTGGAAGGTCGAATTTGAATGCAGAATACAGAGTTAATGGCAGGATTCTCGTCAGTGTGGAGGAACAGAGGGATCTGGGGGTCCACGTCCATAGATCCCTCAAAGTCGCTACCCAAGTTGATAGGGTTGTAAAGAAGGCATATGGTGTGTTGACTTTCAATGGTAGGGGAATTGAGTTGAAGAGCCATGTGGTCATGCTGGAGCTCTATAAAACTCTGGTTAGACCACACTGGAATATTGTGTTCAGCTCTGGTCACCTCATAGGAAAGATGTGGAAGCTTTAGTGAGGGTGCAGAGGAGATCTACCAGGATGCTGCCTAGATGGAGGGCAGGTCTTATGAGGAAAGGTTGAGAGAGCTGGGGCTTTTCTCATTGGAGCGAAGAAGGATGAGAGGTGACTTGATAGAGGTGTACAAGATGAGAGGCATTGATAGGGTGGATAGTCAGAGACTTTTTTCCAGGGCGGAAATGACTATTACAAGGGGGCATAATCTTAAGGTGATTGGAGGAAGGTTTAGGGGCGATGTCAGAGATAGGCTCTTTACACAGAGAGTGGTGGGTGTGTGCAGTGCATGCCAGCAGTGGTAGTGGAATCAGATACTTTAGAGACTTTAAGCGACTCTTGGATAGGCACGTGGAGGACAGTAAAATGTGGGGTATGCAGGGTTGATTGATTTTAGTAGGATAATAGGTCGGCACAACATCGTGGGCCGGAGGGACTGTACTGTGCTGTACTGTTCTATGTTCTAAGTGACTGCCCTTGTTATTAAAGCAGTATTTGTTTAAGGATGTGCCAGGACATCACTGCAGGAATTCATTGGGATAGGACTGAGGGCACTCATTGCTGTCAACCTACCAGACCATAGTAGAACTGCTTTCTTATTAGAGACGACTGGTGGTAGTATAATGTGATGGTCACCATACCTCGGCCAAGGTTGAGAAGGTGGGACCTTCTTAGTACCCTCAACTGGTGCAAAAGTTGAACCTTTTGGCATCACTGCATCACAAAGCAGCATCCAGCTAACTGACCCCTTGCTGACATTATCCAGCTTTGTTAATGACCTTTCCTCCTTCATGAAGTCAGAGGTGGGGATGTTCATGCATTCTGCTGTGTTCAACACCAGCAGTCCATGTCCTAGTCTTGATGCATATGGACGATATTTAGTAACGAGTGATAAATAACAGTTATGCTACACAAGTGCCAAGCAGTGATTGACGGTCTTGCAAACAAAAGACAGTGTTACCATCTCCCCATAACATTTAATTACCATCATTACAACTGAATTTCCCTGTTATTAACATCATGGATATTACCATTGGCCAGAAATTTGGTTGGATTGGCAATGTAAATGCAATGCCAGAAGAGAAGGTCAGAGGTTAGGAATTTTGAAGCAAGTAATTTTCCTCCTGTTTTCCTTGTGGCAATCCGTGTTGCATGGCACAAGTCTGGAATGTGATGGAATCTCTGCAGTTATCTAGATGGATGCAGTTCCAAAACACTCAAGCTTGACACCATCAGGTCATGGTAACCAGCTTGACGAGCACCACATCCACAACCTTCAACATTCATTTCCTTCACTGCACCTAATGACAGCAGTGCATGCTATCTACAAGATCCACTGCAGCAACACACCAAAGCTCCTTTGACATGTGTCATGACTTTTACACACAGATGCATGGGATCACAATAGCATGAAGGTTCCCTTCCAAGTGACAAATTATCTTGATTTGAAACTGTAGTGCTATTGCATCACTGGGTCAAAATCTTGGAACACCTATCCTTGATTGAACTGTAGATATACCTACACCCAAGAACTGTAGCACTTTAAGAAAGCTGCTCACCACTAACTTTGAGTATGGGTTGTAATTGGTCGCCTAGCTAGCAACACTCCTACAAATAAATGAAAAGGTTATACAGCTTCTTGTTCCTCCCACATATGACTTTACCATTCCCTGCTTTAAAGTGCACCTATTTATTTATCCTTCTATAATCTGCTATCCTGCTCATTATTTACTGTATTTTGCAACATAGTATTGTCTGCCAACATGTATATTATTCTCCCTATGGCCATGTTTCTCCAGATGAGAATTGATTTTTGTCCTTGCCCAGGATTGTTATCTTTCACACCTCTGACCTGTAGTTACTAAGTTTATCCTTCACCCCATTCAATAGCAGGGAAGTTTTCCAGAGGATCAAGACAAGAAAAGATGGTCAGACTTAGTAACGAGTTCTGTAAAGCAGTTTAGTGAATCCAGGTTCTGTCGTCATTTCATTTTATGCGAGAAGGATCAGCTAATTCAGACCATATCTGATTCTCCTGTCCCATTACTTTTTAAAATATTTTAATTGCTGATACAATTATACTCAATGCATTGCTGCATTTCGTAAACTTAACGTGCTCATTATTAATTGAATTGACAGCATGTAAATCCAGTTTACATAACATAAAGGCAGCAATTTTAAGTGGGAGTGGGGTGGAAGCTAAACAATTTAATAACTCAGTACAATTTTTTGGACGTTATTCTGACAGAGCACTGATTATGCCAGAATTCATGTGGACTTTTGTATTTGAAGAAATCGCAAAGACTCTTGAGAATTTCCACAGTTCTAAACAAAGGAAAATAACTCTAGAAGTCTGGAGGTCATATGTTACTTTGTCTCAGACAAAATGATGAGATCAAGAATGGAGATTATAGGTTATTTAGTTTGTCAGAATCAATCTGCACACAATTTTAATCGTCATCCTATTTGAAATTCTTTAAATAATACTTTTCATAAAAAAGTGGGTAGTTAGTGGCTTCAGTAGATTATGGGCTTTCAGTCAAATATTAATAAAATCGCATCAACTTAGAGTAAAGACAATCGCTTAAAGAATTAATGGGAATGAACTTGGCCACAGAGGTGAGTGGAAGCCAGACGGTGAAGAACATTTTGGATAGAATGATGCTGTATAGATATTGAATTTGGGGCCCATTCCTAGTCTGGCGGTGGTCAGTTAGCTTGGTTGAATGGTTGGTCATTGATGCAGAGTAACACTGACGGTCTGGGTTCAATTCCTGCACTGACTGAGGTTACCATGAAGGGCTTTCCTCCTCAGGCTTTTCTTGCCTGAGATGTGGTAACCCTCAAGCTAAACTACTACCTGTCGCGCGCTCGCACACACTGTCAGAAAGCAGCCCTATGGTCCTCTGGAAACATACATGTATCTAATTTGGACTTGAATATTGAGTATTACAGCTTACTGGTGATATCGATTATCAGAGCAATTGTGAAAAAAACATAGATGGATAAATAACTAGTTGATGCAGATTTTTTTTAATATACTGTTTTATTTCGTGCTTCCAAAAATAAGTTATTCTTTGAATCTGGAAGCACAGAATTGAAAAGTGAAAAACAGTTTGGAGAGAGTCTTTCGATTTGCAGTTTGGTGTAGTGCACTAATACAAATGTTTTGTCTGCATTGAAAATTAAATGAACCAGTAATTTGAATTAAACTGTACATGAAGAATCAGTATTTTGATAGCACCTTTTAGAACCTGAACATGTTCCAAAGTGCTTTAGGACTAATAAGAACTAATTTTGAAGTCATCTGTTTTAGGTATTGACGGAGGAATAAACATTGGCCAAGACAATTTCCCTCCTTATAGAAGAGTACATTGACCCGAGGGTAGATGTGGCCTTAATCTACTAACCTATCTTTGATCTGGAAGGCTATACCTCTAACAATGCAACACCCAACACCACAGCCTAATTTCAAACATGCCGTGAATCCATAGGCTCCTGATACTTGAGCAAGTGATTCCATTGAGCTGATGCACTAAATTGTAAAATTCAAATATTTTTGATGCAAGAGATCAGTTGTGAATAACAAATTTAAGACTATATGCACTATTTTGCATAACAATTTGAAAATGGTGCAAAAGGTGTGGTATAGATTTGCCAGAGATTGCTGCTGAGTTACACTGGTGGAAAAAGGCTATAGATTTAGGAATTTTATTTGTTAGAATGTTAACTTTGAACACACCCACACATCATTTATGATAGCATAAACAAGTTGCTTTCTGGTTTCCATTTGTCAACAGGGTGCTAATGACCAATTTTAATGGCTATTAGGGAATAATTATACTAGATTTAGAATTTGAGCTTTTGAATTTTAGCATTTTGAGATTTGTTTCTACATGAAAAGTGTCTGGTAAAGGACTTAATTTATTTGCCTTCTGTGACAGATTAAACGGCCTTACTTTCACGTAAAACCATTGGAAAAAATACAGCTAAAAAACTGGAAAGATTATCTTGACTTTGAAATAGAAAATGGAACTCTTGAACGTGTGGTGGTTTTGTTTGAGAGGTGTCTTGTTGCTTGTGCCCTTTATGAAGACTTCTGGATAAAGGCAAGTAGTATTGGAACCTTAAATGGTACATTTTTAAACTTGGTATGCAAAGGTCTGAGTCTGTAGTTGTGTATTTTATAGCTCAAAGCATTAGACTGTAATATGACTTAAAAGAATCTTCATGATGGCCCAAAAGCTGTGATGCCAGTTAGTTTTGGACCCTGAATGCTGACATGAAGTTTGACTTGATCTCTACTGTAAAAACCAGAAGAACTACAGATTCTGTAATCAAGAAACAAAAACAGAAGTTGCCAGAAAAGCTCAGCATCTGTGAAGAGAAATCATAGTTAACGTTTAGGGTGCAGTGACCTTTCAGTTCTGAGGAAGGGTCACCGGCCACAAATGGTTAACTCTGATTTCTCTTCATAAATACTGCCAGACCTGCTGAGCTTTTCCAGCACTGTTTTTGTTTCTGATCTCTGTTGCCAGAGTCATACAGCATGGAAGTAGAACCTTCGGTCCAACCAGTCTATGCCAAACATAATCCCAAACTGACTAGCGCCACCTGCCTGCTCCTGGCCCACATCTCTCCAAACCTTTCCTATTCATGTACTTATCCAAACATCTTTTAAACATTGTAATTGTACCCACATCCACCACTTCCTCAGTAAGTTCATTCCACACGTGAACCACTTTACATGCAAAAAACAATTTGCTACTCATATCTTTTTTAAATCTTTCGCTTCTTGCCTGTTGCAGAATCATTCTCCCTTTCAAACAACTGGTACAGTCAATAATTTGAGGTCATTCAAGTTATTATTTATGACGTGTTTACAAAAGTACAAAGAATCATTTACTTTAAGGTCATTGTCCAAGCAATCCAATTTTCAGTTCCAGAAAGCCAGTTAAGTAGTGTTAGAGCAAATTTTCAGTTTGCCGCCTTTACAAAGCAAAATGTTACAAACATCCACCCAGCTCAACCACTGCTTCATATCTTTATCTATGCCTGAGTGAATCCCAATTAATGCTTTAATTAAACACAATTGACTTATAATTGACATCTAAATCTGAGTAAAAATGATTTGGCAATCTGTAACCTGGTCAATAACTTGTTAGAATGAATGTTTGTGTTTTTAAATTTCAGTATGCTAAATACATGGAAAACCACAGTAGTGAAGCTGTGCGACATGTGTACAGCAGAGCATGTACAGTTCATCTATCAAAGAAACCCATGGTACATTTACTTTGGGCAGCTTTTGAGGAACAGCAAGGTAAATCACGTATAAATCAAAATCTGTTGCTTAATTCCGTTTGATTTAATTCATTAATGATTTATTTGAAATAGATGTAGATTTAAAGTCTTTAAAGTGGGGCAGATTGACTTATAAATAGAAATTCAGTCCCTAAGTGTTTGATTTTAATAGTTATGTGTGAAATATTGAATTCATTTAATTTGCATTTTTTATTCTGTTCCAGGGAACATTAACGAAGCTAGAAGAATCTTGAAAATGCTGGAGGAATCTGTATCAGGGTTAGCCATGGTCCGCTTAAGACGAGTAAGCTTAGAACGCCGCCATGGAAATATGGATGAAGCAGAATTTCTGCTTCAGGATGCAATTAAAAACAGCAAAACGCCCAACGAAGCATCTTTCTATGCTGTGAAGTTGGCTCGTCTTTTATTCAAAGTAGAGAAAAGCCTTCCTAAGGCCAGGAAGGTCCTACTAGAAGCAATAGACTTTGATAAGGTATGATGGAAATGATCACACGTAAATGTCAGCATTAAAACAACTTCTGTAAACTTAGCTTGTAAAGCAGAGAAACACATCTGCATTCTGTTGTCGTTAAAGAGCAGCTTGTTATTTCTCTTAACATTGTATCTATTCTGTATTAAAATAAAGTTTAAAATGTTGATTTTTTTTCAATTAACCTTTTAATTGTGAGCTTAAGTTTCATTAAATCACAGTGGCTGCTGAGCGCTTTTAACCAATTCCAGATGAAAATTGCTGGTAAATCATCTACCATACAGATTCACTTTCAAAAGTAGCTGTGTACATTCTTTCTTTCTTTGCACTATCCCCTTCTTATACTTTAAGGCTGTTTCACTAATAGAGAGTGGCAGCAAACCAAGATGAAACAACTGCATTCAATTTTTTTCCTCAAACTTGAAGTGATTAGTTTTGTACAGTTGTATAATAGAGCCATAATAAATCAATGTGTTTAAATTAACTTAGAGGAATGTTACCCAGCTTGATTATAGGGGCAACCAGTTGTTTTGCTTTCATCTGTTTATACAGTGAGATAAACAGCTCCATTTCTGAATTACTTCTCTAAACTGGGTGGATTTGATATTACTTTTTGACATATATATTCTGTTCTTTTCGTTACCCTTGACCTCCCCTACCCCCATCTGCCATCCCCTCATCTCTGGTTCAGTGAAGTGAATGATGTATATTTCAAATTCAGCAGGGTGGGTCTTGGCCCTTTTACGATATTGGGTACAATACTGTATGTTGGAGTAATAAAAGAAGTGTGAAGTACAATTCAAACATTATGAATATGACTTTTTTAAATCTAATATATCAGTGCTATTTAAATCCCTGTGAACGTTTATCATCTCACCTCAAGATTGCATGTCTGATATTATGGGAATTATTAATCTTTAATTAGGTCATAGAAATATTGTTGAGCCTTTTTCAAACTTCTAATGTACTTTCAAAAGTTGCCTATTTATAGACTTGCTGGGTGCATTGTTCACAGTTCCAATTTCCTTATCAGCAAGTCACAAGCTTGCAAATGTTGCAGCATTTAAATTTTAAAAACATATCACTGTGTGACACTTTAAATTTCTGAAAGTCAGGTGTTTAGTTTTCTTTAACTGTAGTTAATAATTCTTAAAATTTGATTCCTAAGAAAAGGCTCTACTCTGTGCAAAGTTTATTATCTGCTGGTGGCTAGATGAAACGAGATGGATAAAAATATTGCTTTGCATTAGTAAAGTGCTTCAGTACATAAATGAGTTATTCTTTTGTGAATATTGTACAAACTCTTCATGAACAACTTTGTGGGCAGTTCAAACCAAACTATTTTTCACTCTCGTCATTGCTGTGTATTTTCAGATTACCTTCTACAATAATTTGACCCACTGGGACAGCTCTAATGGCTTTATTCTACTACCATATACCATGCTGTATTCAGCTGGGTATGTTCTCTTACTCCCATCCTGTGACAAAAAAAAATTGTCACCAATTCAGGATATGTGGTTTTCAAAAAAAAATGCTGATTTTTATTTTCCCTCCCATTCTCCAGGCTGTCTAAGACGAGTGCACCTCCTCCAAGGAAGCCCAAGTGCAAATTGTTGTCAAGACTGGGAATCTGACTTGGGAGCTCACCAATTAAATGTAGTCAGTTAGTTTCTATGAAATGAGTAAAACATTGCCAACTTTTTACTAGGTAGTATTATTTGGTTTGTAAGCATTTGGATGATTGTATCTTATCTGTTTTGTGATTTTTAGGAAAGCACCAAACTATATCTAAATCTTTTGGAACTTGAATACAATTCAGATCTCAAACTGAATGAAGAAAACATTCTGAATGCTTTTGATAAAGCAATAAGTAGCTCAATGGCTATAGAAACAAGGATAGCCTTCTCCCAGCGGAAAGTTGAATTTTTGGAAGACTTTGGTTCTAATGTGAAAAGGTATCTTTTTTGCATTTTGACAGTATTTTGTTTAATTCATGAAACTGGCTAGGACAACGTGGCTTGCGTGTCCCCAGTTGGCCTTCAGAGGGTGGCAGTGGGCTGCAGCCCTTAACAACTGCAGGTAAAGCTCAGCAAGTCTGACAGCATCTGTGAAGGAGAAAGTTCTGAGGAAGGGTTACCAGACCCAAAACGTTAACTCTGTTTTCTCCTTCACAGATGCTGCCAGACCTGCTGAGCTTTTCCAGCAACTTTGTTTTTGTTTCTGATTTACAGCATCCACAGTTCTTTCGGTTTTTACTTAACAACTGCAGTCCTGGAGCTGTTGGTTCACCCATAGTGAAATTAGAACAGGGGTTCAAATAATTTGACCTAAAAACCCATGTTGATGGATAAGTGCAACCCCAGAAACAAAAACAAATTGCTGGAGAAACTGGGTCTGACAGCATCTATGGAGAAGAAGCAGAGTCAATGTTTAGGGTCCAGTGACTATCCTTCAGAAGTGATTTGTAGCTAGGAAAGGGGTGGTATTTATGCTGAAAACAGAATGGGGGAAGGGGTAAGTGATAGAGCCCAGAGAGAGAGAATAAGTTGGGTAGACAAAGGAAAGGGTAATGGTGGGCTCGGGAGAAACAAAAGTTGCTGATGGAGACCATTTAGTCGGTGAAACCGCATCTTCCATCCCATTTTCACCCACTAATGGTCCCCATTTGCAGCTTTTCTTTCTCCCTGGCTCACTGTTATCCATTCCTTTCTGATCAACTGCTGTTCTCTGTCTGGGCTCCATCTCTGCCTATTGTTTACTTCTTCCCCTCTCCGCGTTGTGTCCCACTTCTCCACCCCCTGTCTTCAGCATATGTACTACTTTTTTCTAGCTACAATCAGTTGTGAAGAAGGGTCCCTGGACTCTAAACATTGACACTGCTTCCTCTCCATAAAAGCTGCCAGGCATGCTGACTTTGTTTCCCTCTGGCAATTTGTTTTTGTTTCAGATTTCCAGCATCTTAAAGTTCTTTGTTTGCTTGTTACAAGTAAGCCTGCTTTATGTTAAATAAAGTTGGAATTAAATAAAGTTTATCAGATGGGATGAAATTTGTATATGTTGGTAATTTGGGGGAAGAATAATCTTGAATGTGATTGATAAAAGCTGCAGAAATGTGAAAGTCAGCATCGCTTTCAAATAACTAATTTAACCATTTTTTTTCCTGTCTTAAACAGCTTGAATTCTTGTTTTTAAATGAAACTGTACTGATAGGACACGTGTTATTTCAGGTGATCCACTATGATGTAATACTTTGCTAAAACATGCACAGAAATAGTTTGAAAATCCTTGGAAACTGCCATTAATTGTTTTCTGTATCCTAGACTCATGGTGGCTTATGATGATCATCAACAGCTTTTAAAAGAGCAGGAGTCATCTAAAAGAAAGGCAGAAAATGGGCAAGTTTTGTTTTTGTACTCAAGTTGATTGAATTTTTAATTTTGTTTTGGTAAAAACCTGTTCTTCATGGGAAATCTCCTGAATGAGTCTTCTCTTGTGCGCAGCCCTTTACAAAATTGAGTTTTGTTGCTTGCAGCCAAACATATGACTAATTGATCCATATATAACAACACAATCTGGATTGTCCGCAGACTGCCAAAGTGTCAGGACACCAATTCAATTAAGTGAATTTTATATATACATACACAAAAAACAGAAAGTGCTGGAAAAGCTCAGCAGGTGTGGCAGTAAGTGTAGAGAGCAATCAGAGTTAATGTTCAGGTCCATTGACCCTTCCAAAGAACTAGTCTGAGGAAGGGTGACTGCACCCAAAACAATTAACTCTGATTTCTCCCAACCGATACTGCCAGGCCTGCTGAACTTTTCAGTTTCTGTTTTTGTTTGATTTCCAGCATCTGCTATTCTTTCTATTTATATTTGAGTAATAAAATATATAAATAAATAAATAACTATATGGTAGTCAAATGCTTATCTGATTCAGATAATTCATCAAAAAGGGGGAACTGCTCCGCTTTACTCATGTGGCTCACAAAGGATAGAGAAGGGAGCAAGCCATTTAGCCCATCAAGCTGGTTTCTGCCATTCAGCTAGCTGACCTACAATCGAACTCTCTCTGCCTGCCTTGTTCCACCAGAAATTACATTAACAGAGATGTGAGATTGATATTTTTAACTTATCTGGGATCTGAGGGGTGCAGGAAGTGGAATTGAAATGAAAGGTAGACCATTACCCTTAAATAACAGAGCAGCCTCAAGGGGCTGAATGGTGGTTTCTGCCTATTTCTCTACATGTTCATTGTTTTTCTTGCTGCTTTGTCAGTACAAACATTTAGCTTTTTCTGAATTTTTTTATACATGCTTAAGATCTTGATGCATTTTTTGAGAAGTGTAGTCTGTTGAGGTGATGATTAGAGTCTGACATTATGAATTTATTTTTAAATAAACATTTTCTAATATGAAACTAAAATGTTGCTCTAGAAAGATATTTTGTTGAAGCTTTCATCTTGCATTCATCAGGACAATCCACAAGTCAATGTACATATTAATACACAGGGCCCCGTTATAGAGTTATACAGCATGGAAACAAACCCTTCAGTCCAACCAGTTCATGACAAACATAATCCCAATTTAAACTAGTCCCACCTACCTGCTCTTGGCCCATATCCCTCCAAACCAATGTTGTTACTATGCCCACATCCTCCTCTTCCTCTGGAAGTTCATTCCACACGTGAAGCACCATCTGTGTTTTTTAAAATATTGCCCCTCATGTCTTTTTCCTTCCAATCTTCCTCTCTCACCTTAAAAATATGCCCCCTAGTGTTGAAATCCCTCATCCTAGAGAAAAGACGCCTGCCATTAGCCCTATCTATACCCTTCATGATTTTATAAACCCCTAAAAGGTCACTTCTCAACCTCCTATGCTGCAGTAGAAGAGTCCAGCCTTTCCTTATAACTTAAATCTTCCATACCCGGTAACATTGCTGGTCAATCTCTTCAGATCCCTGTCTAGCTTAATAATATCATTCCTATAACAGGGCGACCAGAACTGGACACAGTACTCCAGAAGAGGCCTCACCAATATCCTGTACAACCTCAACATGCTGTCCAAACTCCAATACTCAAAGGACTGAGCAATGAAACCAATACGCTAAATGCCTCTATAACCACCTTGTCTATATGTGGTTCAGACTTCAAAGGATTATGTATCTGAACCCCTAGGTTCAACTGTTCTACAACTCTGCCCAAAGCCCTATCATTAATTCTATAAGTCCTGCCCCTGTTTGTCTTACCAAAATGCAATCCCTCCAATTTATCCAAATTGAATTCCTGCCATTTTGGAGCCCGTTGACCCATTTGATCAAGATCTCTTTGTAATCTTAGAAAACTTTTCTCTTAAAGAGCTGTACACATACTGAACTTGTTTCAACACAAACCAAAAAAGTGGTTCACATATTGTCTCAGACCAATTGAGCCTTGACCAATAGGAGTCAGCATGCCTGGTTTAAAAATGAAACACAGCTTGGCAGCAAACTGTGGGTCCTCACCTAACTACTTTCTGCGATAAAGCCTTTACCAATCAGAGTCCACTTGCGAATGAATCAACATTTTTCTTTTCGTACATTGTAAATGTTTTCCTTTTTGGTATTTCATGCAAATTGTCCTGATTTGAGTGCAAGATGAGAAGTTTTAACAAGACATCTTTTTCAGCCATACTCAAATTTATTTTTCATATAATTTCAGGTGGGAGTAGGAATAATGGTTTGTACTGCAGCAATTTTCATAGAAACTTTCACCATTCCAGAATGGGGCAGTAGCGCAACATTTTAAAGACATTTGGATAAGTACATGAATAGGAAAGGTTTAAAGACATATGGGCCAAACGCAGGCAAATTTTGTCTGAATAAAATGCTGCTGCAGAGTTGAAGTGAAGTTTTAATTTTACTATTTATTGATGTTAAATATACCTCTAGTTTTATTACCATAGAACATTCCTCATAATCTTTAAATAAAATTAATTTAAATTTTTCAATTATTTTGTCAACAGTATGGTTATCCCAAATTTTCTCAACAAAAGTCTTCCTTCTTCAATAACATGCTCTAGAATGAAGTGTTTTAATGTATATTTAGATATGTGTGTGTGTGTGTGTGTGTGTATATATATGTGATAGGTCAGAAGAGCCAGAGGAGAAAAAACAAAGGAGTGATGCAACATTAACGTCTGCCCAGCTGATGAGTGGAGACTTGCAGGCTAATCAGTCTGCGTATAATTACAATGCTTGGTATCAGGTAAGTAGTTTGAGAATCATAAACTCACTTCTGATTTCTTTGAAAGATTGAGTTTCCATATTCAGTTTTATACTGATGCTCCTTTCTTTTTAAAAAATCATGAATTGAAAATATTGACATAGGTTGAATTGGATATTTTGCAATCAACCTGTTCAGGGATATAGTTCCTCCCCTCGAGAGGTCGTACCTGAGCCCACAGTACTGAGGACTACTTTGGTGTCTCTTCCTCCATGTTCACTTTTAGGACTGAGCAGAGAAAATATCAAACTTGTGTAGTCTAGTTTCCTAAAAAAAGAACAACATACAGATCACAAAAGTCTCTCTTAATCTGTCTGATCTTGAATGGCCATTAGGTCACCACAACTGTTTTGACATCCATCGATATCAACTTTCTCCCGTCAACTTTAATCAGGATTTCCATTTCTAATTATTATTGTGTCTGGAAATTAAACGTATTACACCTCCACTCTACGAGTACTGTGTGCTAACTGCATGATGCCTGCAGCATCTCACTAAGATTCCTTCTGCAGCATCTCCCAAATTACCAAAAATCCTTACATAGCACCTTCCAAACTCGTACCACTACCACCTAGAATAAGGGCAGTAGGTACATGGACATGCTACCACCTGGAAGTTCTCCTGCAAGTCATTTTGCATCCTGACTTGAAAATATATCACTGTTCCTTCCATGTCATTGAGTCAAAATCCTGCAATTCCCTGCCCAACAGCATTATGCTTTTACCTATGACATGGACTACAGCAGTTCAAGAAAGTTGCTCATGACCACCTTCAAGGGCAGCTAAGGATGGGCAATACATGCTGACCTCACCAGTGACGCCCATGTACCACAAGTGAAATTTAAAAAAAACTATCCTGGTCTCACAGGGAAATACAATACTTGATTTTCCAAGTCTGAACCCATCCAGATTTGAAGATGTATTGTAATCTCTAGACTGAAATCTAGGTACACTCAAATAGCACTGTAGAAGCATCTTCATCACATGGATTACAGTACTTAATGTTGGCAGCCAACTACTTACCCAGTAACCAGGTAGTGCTAAACAGCTGCATTTGAGAATTAAATTTTAAATGTTAATTCACCCTTGTATTTAGAACACAAGATTATTATAAAATACAAGTTGAAAGATTTTACAAGTTTTGTGCTAGACTGTTGTACACCTCAAATATTTTACATTTAGCATTAAGAACCTTTTGTGAAGTAGAAAAGAAAACATTTGGAGGACTGAGCATCTAAGTTGAATGCTGAATTTCAACTTATTACAGGCATGTGAATCCGGTCTCTCTCGGCTAGTATTTGCTTGTCAGCTGGATCCATGGGTATTTGAACAAAAAATTAGTTTTAGCAATCCGTCTAATGTGCATAGGTCTGCCTAAAATTCACCCAATTCAATGCTTATGTCTCAGATGGATAAAAGAAAGTAAATCTAAATCATCAGGATACAGCGGATTGGAGGCAAAGCTTTTCTTTATTTATGACTACTGTACTTGATCTGAGAGTTAAATGTTTACAATGAAAGCCTAAATTTTTATGATCACCAAGATACCTTTAAGTTTTTAAGTTCTTAAGTTCCTTTGTTTAAAAATTCCTGTCACACGTTTAAATTTTTTTTTGTCTTTTCCAACAGTACAATTATGCAACACCCTGGAACTACGGGCAGTATTACCCACCACCTACATAATATACTGGAATTTCTTGTTCTGAGATGTTTCGTTTCCGTTTTAAAAGTAAAAAGTGGAAAATATTGCATCTTAAAGGACTTGCAAAGACTGGATTTCTTTCTCAAGGATTAAAACTGAGGAAAAATTGTTTACTGGAAGATGTTTGTTTGAGATCAGATAAGATTTATGTTCAAAAGCGTTTTGAGAATTTCTCATCTTTTTTGAGTTTTTTTAAAAAAAATTCTCTTCATACTTAATTTGATAATAGGAAAATAAATTTTAAAGATACTGCAGAGCACCACTGATGGTATAGTTTCTTATCTGGCAATTTCCTTCAATTGTGGGATTTTGAAAAATTGCTGAGCTACATAATCAGGTATACAACTAATACATTTGTAATTGAAAACTTCAAAGACATGTTGCTTTTTATATTTAATTAAAATATGATTGCACATCTGGGCGTTCTGACTTTAGATAATTAAAAGAAAGTGCCTCCTGCTTTGTGAAATAATACTGTTACATGCAGTAAATATTTTAAAAACACTTCAGCAATTGGATTTTGAGGATTTACACCTGACCACTCTATTCTGAAATAATGTTGGTTGTCTGGTCAACATTAAACATGGAAGTTGCCTGTTATAAACACTCGCTATAATTTTAGAAGCAATTTTATTAAAGGGTTGTTACCATTATCTGTTGGCTTGCACTAAGTATAAAAGAGCTACTCCTTACTCTTATGAGCAGATTATTTTCCAAAATTAATGCAACATAAAACTCCACACATTTGTAACATCTATCTTTTAAGTGTACAAAAGCAGCAAGAGGATATCTGCTCAAGATCATGTAGAAAGTTTGAGACACATCAAGAATTTTATGTAGAGGCTGATCAGATAGAAGGATTGCTTGGAACAGATGGGGATCGCCCTGTGAACTTCATTAAGAAATGTCTATAATGTTACTCTCACTGGTATTCTGGAATGTGATTCAAATGAGGCACAGAAATTTCTTATTTCAAACCCTTTTCTAATTTTGAGTCAGACTTTACTAAACTCTGTTCTTGTTTTAATGCCTTTGCCCCATGTATCACTTCACATCTATAAGAGTTCTATCATCAATGCAATTGTATTGTATTTGGTTAGGAGGACATAAACTTTTATAGTATTTTTTGCTACAGATTACTTTGAATCGCAGTCTAGTTTGTAATCAGTCATATTCCAAGATTAATGCTTCAGCTACAGCTAGAAAAATCTCAATTTTTTTGACCCTCTACCATTGTGCACTAATCTCATTTGTGAAGAAGACCTTTGTTTCTGGCTTTACTTTTTGCATGGTTCGCGACTGGGAGGTGCAGTTGTTTATTGCGAACCGAGCGTAGGTGTTCTGCAAAGCGGTCCCCGAGTCTCCGCTTGGTTTCCCCGATGTAGAGGAGGTGGGAGGAGGAGTATTCTAGGTAGCTGTGGGAGTCGGTGGGCTTGAAATGAATATCTGTTTCTAGGTGGTTCCTGCAAAAATGCTATCCCCTATTCCCAATTCCTTCGCCTCCGCCGCATCTGCTCCCAGGATGAGGCATTCCACTCCCGTACATCTCAGTTGTCCTCGTTTTTCAAGGACCGTAACTTCCCCTCCTCGGTGGTCGAGAATGCCCTCAACCGTGTCTCCCACATCTCCCGCACCTCATCCCTCACACCCCGTCCACGCAATAAGAACCAAAAAAGAATCCCCCTCGTCCTCACGTACCACCCCACCAACCTCCGGATCCAACGCATCATCCTCCGACACTTCCGCCATCTGCAATCCGACCCCACCACCAAAGACATCTTTCCCTCCCCACCCTTATCTGCTTTCCGGAGGGACAACTCTCTCCGTGACTCCCTTGTCCGCTCCACACTCCCCTCCAGCTCCACCACACCTGGCACTTTTCCCTGCAACGGCAGGAAGTGCTACACCTGCCCCCATACCTCCTCCCTCACCCCCATCCCAGGCCCCAAGAAGACTTTCCACATCAAGCAGATGTTCACCTGCACATCTGCCAATGTGGTATACTGCATCCGCTGTACCCGGTGTGGCTTCCTCTACATCGGGGAAACCAAGCGGAGACTCGGGGACCGCTTTGCAGAACACCTACGCTCGGTTCGCAACAAACAACTGCACCTCCCAGTCGCAAACCATTTCAACTCCCCCTCCCATTCCTCAGACGACATGTCCATCCTGGGCCTCCTGCAGTGCCACAACCATGCCACCCGAAGGTTGCAGGAACAGCAACTCATATTTCGCTTGGGAACCCTGCAGCCCGATGGTATCAATGTGGATTTCACAAGTTTCAAAATCTCCCCTCCCCCTACCGCATCCCAAAACCAGTCCAGCTCGTCCCTGCCTCCCTAACCTGTTCTTCCTCCCACCTATCCCCTCCTCCCACCTCAAGCCGCACCTCCATCTCCTACCGACCAACCTCATCCCGCCCCCTTGACCTGTCCGTCCTCCCTGGACTGACCTATCCCCTTCCTAACTCCCTACCTACACTCACCTTTACTGGCTCCATCCCCGCCTCTTCGACCTGTTTGTTTCCTCTCCACCTATCCTCTCCTCTATCCCTCTTCTATCCGCCTCCCACTCTCTCCCTATTTATTTCAAAACCCCCTTCCCCTCCCCCTTTTCTGATGAAGGGTCTAGGCCCGAAACGTCAGCCTCTCTGCTCCTATGATGCTGCTTGTCCTGCTGTGTTCATCCAGCCCTGCACCTTGTTGTCTCGGATTCTCCAGCATCTGCAGTTCCTACTATCTCTAAATATGTACACAATTCACAGCTTGTTAAAATCCCCATTTTTAAAGGAAATCAAACAAATTCAAATCCATCAAATATGATACTATACTGAATCTGAGCTTTAGGGAAAGTATGAAATAACTTGGCATCTAATAAAATTTTGTTCTGTACTATTCATCATCACCTGTCGAACTTAAGTGTTTCAAACTTCTCTCTAATCTGCTACATGCCTGCCAAGATTTTGTTTCTAAATCAGATGGGCTTAATTCATGTAGCCTATCTTCATGATTAAGGTAATTGATCTCATTATGGTTGTTTTCTCCACATCTAAATCTCGATATTGAAAGTATCAGCACCAATTCTGTATAATCCCCAGACAATATCTTGAGACATTAATTCACAGGGGCCAACTTGAAATGGTCATTTAAGTTCTAAGCTTTTGTTTATTTCAATCAATATCAGCTGTATTGGAAAGACCTTTCGCAGGCAATAAATTTCAGGAGACCGCAAAGATCAGGCATGTGGTAATTTTTTTCAAGCAAACACCAATATAATGCAGGGAGAGGTCAAAGACCAGCCCGAATCTGGCCCTGACGTGAGTGCTTAATCGCCCCCTTAATCTTTGGCTCGGATCAGAAGAAAAGTCAGTGCTGCTGTCTCTAATACAAGCAAATTGTCTTTTATACATTTTCTTGCTACCTTAACGTGGTGGCATATACTCCCTCCCCCTATATACTATCAGCTAATTAGTGCTGGGTTATCCAACTATGATTGGGTTTTTACTACATCACTGAATATTAGTAATTGCTTATTGCTGTGATCTGATTGGGCCATTTTAGGATGTGAGAAGTTGAATTTTGAATGGTTACCAGTGACTCTTGTGTCTCAACTATGACGTCTGTGTCTGCTTATCTTGTATAGGTGGTTCTCCTCTAACACAATAGTTGCAATCTTGTGCGACCTTGCGATATAGAAAATTGTGTTATAGGGAAATCGCTGTACTGTACAGTAGAAAGTTGTGTTATCCAAACAGCACCCACTATTCTTCAATCGCTGTACAGCCAAATTGCATTAACGAAACACGTTATAGCATAAATACCCGTACAAGGCTGTAACAGGCTTCTTTGAGATTTCCCACCATTCCAATTCTTAGCTGCTGTCCTTGTTAAGAGATGAGAGGCCCCTTTTATTACTTGTAATTAGTTTTAAAGTCTTTCCTTCTAATGTTTTTTAGTGATTTTTGTATGTATGTGAAACCACTTCAGAATCTTAAGATTCTTCAAGATAATCTTATACTGAAACCTACTTTATAACTGATTAGAGAAAACTTAACAGAAACAACGAATTGATGTGAAATGTTCTTTTCTTAAGAGAGCAGTTTCATGTTGCAGATTCAATCTTATGGACAGCTATTGTTTTATGTGCTGAGAACACAAGCTCTCTCCACGCTTTCTAATGTCTGTTAAACATATACTGCAAAGATTGGTGGGGCTTTATTTGGCCATTTTATACTGTTCTGTCATGGGCAGCTCTAACAAACTGAATATTACTTAGCATGGATACTATAGCGAAAGAAAAGGTATGTCTTCTAGTGTGCTAATATGCTGCATATTTTCTTACACCACTCTGCCAATTGCTGTGTTTACAGGAGCCAATGCAAAAGTTATTTCCAAGCTTTTAACAGGTTTGTAATGTCCCGTGTCAAAAGTTGTTTCCATGAGTTTGAGAATCGCTGAAGGGCAGAAAAGCCCTAGTGTTGGGCAGTATCCTTGGATTTCCACAGAATGCATCTCTGACCAGACTCTCTACTCCCATTTGGATCCTGTCTAGTGGTCAACAGGAAATGGCTTTTTCCACTTTTTCCAACAATATCATCCTTGCATTTTCACCAAATAATGTCTTCCCGCTCAGGATCTTTGAATCCGTAGTTCCCAAGAGTTGATAAAGGACAGGAATGGCTGCCTCCCCTTACGTTTTCAGGTGTTAAATCTGGTACTTATGTTTCAGTTCAACATGACTTGGGTGCCAGTCCCATAACAACTAAGTCATATGAGCTTATCAACAGGCAGGACTCGTTGAAGATCACATTCTGAACCAATGCAGTTGGTGATTTTATTGAAGCTTACAAAATATTTGCATACTGTGTCGCCTGCTCTCGATCCCGACCCTACCAAACATTCCCTTCTGCATTCACCCTGCCGAGTCTTGTAAGAATTTCGTTAAGTCTCAACAAGAACAGTAATGGTTCAGAAAACAGAAAATATTAGAGAAATTCGGAGTCCGGCAGCCGCTGTGGAGAGGAAAACAAGATTTAATGTCTAAACACCCAAAAACAAAGAGCTAGGAATTCTGGAAATTGGAAACAAAAACGAATTGCTGGAGGTGCGGGCAACAAAACTCAGCAAGCTTGCAGCAGCTGGGAAGAGAAACGTTTCGGATGCAATCACAGCAGTGTTTATCCAGCTCTGCACCTTGTTGTCTCGGATTCTCCAGCATTTGCAGTTCCTAGTATCTCGGATGCAATCACCTTCTGCAGAAATTCAGAAGTGGTGGTTCACCACATCTCAAAATCAGTTAAAAAAGGACAACAAATTCTGCCTAATCAGCAATACCCACATCATTTGAAGGAACATTTTAATTCGATGTGACGGAAGCTATTCACTGAAACAACTGCCCACAATGAGGACGCGTGGAAATCACGCATCCTCCACAAGATAAAAATACGTCTCCGATACTTTCCGCCGCGACTTTACAGACTGCGCATGCGCACAGTCCGCCTAAACTGGTCGACGGGCGTTCTTTTGTACGTGCGCATGCGCCGTTGATCGCAGTTATAGTGCGCGTGTGCGGCAGATCTCTCTTTTTCT